CTTTTCTGTTATATTATACAGGGTGATTTACGTAGGCGCAAATATCATCGACCAAATCGTGCGTATTTGTGAGAATATAGAGCAACGGCTCTTGACGTCCTGTATAGACATCGATCACTATTTCGAGCTGCTTTTTTTTGTGTGGTTTGTTGAAAGATAGATCTAGGTCGGATACTATTTGGAAATTGGTTATTTCATGTACACGTTTTTTTTTATTCGCCAAATTGACTTATTTTGAGCACTTTTCGAGAACGTTTTTTCCACTCTTTCTTTAAAAATTTCGAAAAATGAGATAGTATCCGACCTAGCTTGATCCTTTGGCTAGAGCATGAATCGAAAAAAATTTGAAAATATTGAATGGTTTCGAAATGGGAAGTCTCTCACTCTCAAGTGATGCTGATCTATTAGACAGAGTTGAAGTCATTGCTTGAAATTTTATATTCCATGAGAGATGAGATTTTGTGAAATAATAACAAAATGAAGTTATTGTGATATCAAACATAGTGAAACAAGAGCAATTTTGTGTTATAGCCGTCGAAAAAAATCAGTATCTTGGTTCTTTGAAAAGCATTAGATACTATGTTGCTTTGAGCACAGCTGAAGTGGAATAAAAAACAGCAGCAGCAGTCGTAGGGCAAGAACATGGTACGGTGCTCTTTATAGAAACGGGTTGAACTCGATGATATGCGGCAACATTTCATCAAAGGCCTGATTGTTAAAAATGTTATGATGTGGATTAAGTTAGCACAAATTGAAATATTGTTGACTATTTCACCAATTCCTCATTGGAAGAGAAAATTTTTAAATTCAGTTTCAGCTGAAAAGTTACAAAATAGTCGATTTCTTTGATTCATAGTACAGAGCTCTGATTTCAAAACTTACCACTTAGCCTTATGATGTGCGATGATAACAATTATGTAAAAAAATAGGTTGATTCAGATACTGAGGAGGAAATAAAATACTAGTATCTATTGAATGCTATGATCATCCCCTCAAACCCCCGCCACCTCTACTTTATAAAATTCCAAATCGCAACTTGAGATACATCAAATTGAGGCGGAAACAAAAACCAATCCGACCAGATGAATAATAATTTATTTCAATGTCTACTTTTCGAGAAATATATCAGTTTGAGTACATCCATATTCTCTGGCTGAGTTTTATTAACCATTGTTTCCACATGTGACTCCACAACAATTGATCTGCAATGAAAATTGACAAAATGTTTGGCTGTAATAACTGACGTAATATAACTTATAATTCAATGATTATGTTACCCCGATATGTATAGATCAAATACTAAAATAGTTTTCCATCTGGTTGGTTATTGCTAGACTTTGAATTTTATATATCTCGAAATAGGGGGTGCCATTTGGAATTCCAAAATAGGGGTGTCTGGGGGTGAAGGGAATGAATATAACATTCGACCGATACTGATATTTTTCTTCCCCCTTGATATCCTACGTCCGGCTACGTCTTTTTGTCAACACATGTAATTTTGTTTTTTCTCCCTTACGATAATCACCTGCCCTGGGTTTTACAGGCGGCATTTTCAATACTTATAGTCACAAACACAAAAACACTTCACACCAAATACAAGGTTCAACGTTTCTGCAAAAAGCAGATCAAACTACTGACATGACGAAAATATTCAACATTGATTCATTTTACCTGGATTCGTAACCATTCAAATGATGTTGAACATTTTTATATTGTCATAAAGTGTTGCCAACGACTAGTTGTTGAAAAACGCCAATGTGCTATTGAGAAAAAGCTAGAAAAAGTTAGACCATAAAAAAATGCGCCGCAGGCGAAAATTTTTAGATATCTAGCTTATTTCTAGCTTTTTTAATACCTATTTCATACTGTTTACCACTCGTCGCACTGGTCTGAACTTTTTCCGCACCCAACCTTTTTCGTCTCTGTTCATCACGTGTAATTTTAAAAGATGAATATATATTTATACACAGACTATAATAAATTTTGTCGAATGGAAAACGCTATTTCAGTGTTTAGAAGTTAGGAGTCAATGTTTCAGTTATCTCAACCAGGCGTTTATTGTGAATCTTTCAGTATTGAGCATCATGGTTTGTACATGATTCTAAAATAAGGATGCAAATATAGTTTCTCATCAAATTAAATCAATAACGAAATATTGACTGTTGAACTATGTTGTCAGTTGTAATTGTTTAGTCAGCAATAGCATCACCAACTATTTTGTGGTAGAAGTGGCAGAATCATAAAAGTCGTTTACCTACTTTAAATTGTGGGTAACTCTATATTAATGTAGTTTGGTTGAATATTGATTTATATAAGGCCAGAAAAAGGCACTAAAGGTTTATCAAATGGCTAAATTATCCACAGATGCAGATGCAACATTTACCCTCCAGATCACCTCTTGAAAACGCCAGTTCTAACCGTAAATAAGCCGTGTTGGCAACACTATATCACCCTGCATCTCAGGATGTTACGCCGTGTAAAAAACAACCCGTTCGGGGAACCACCTATAAGTATTCTATTATTGTAGACGATTTTTTGCGTTTAGCGAAATTATGGGCACTTGAGGCAATGAACTCGCGTAAAATTACGCATCAGATTATTCAATAGATTTCACTCAATTGACGAACGAACTATTAAATAACTACTTCTCAAAATGTATGAAGAATAAATTATTTTTGTCTCAAAGTAATCAATACCTACTAGTTTATTTTTGAAATTTCATGAATTTATATAGGTTTTTTTAAATTTTATTATTTCTATATTTCATCAAATCACCCGAACTAAGGCTATATCGACTGCCATGTTCTTCTGATATAACTTTCACCAGAGGGCGCAAATATCATCGTGAACTTATGCCTATTTTTGAGGTTGCAGAGGTTTGGCTCCTGACGCTTTGTGAAGAAACCAAGCCACATTATGATTTAATTTTTTTTTTGTAGCATATTGAAGGTTCATTCTAGGGCGGATACTATCTGAAAATCCTAAACAAGCACTATAAATATTTTTTTTTCGTCAGCTAATAATGCTATATTCAAATACATTTTTGAAACTTTTTTTTTTCGAATTTTGAAAAATGAGATAGTATCCGCCCTAATTTGAACCTTTGTCTATATGATGGCGTTTAAAAATGTACTATATGCCAAACGGTTTTCCCATAAAGCGTCAGGAGCGAGAGCGCTGTATTAATCATTTTTCCAGTCCTATTGTCCACTCTTAAACGCTCATTTTATACCAATATGCTGTGGATATAATTATTGGACCTAAGATATGGGGAATATATTGGTCCAATAACTTTTTTCGATGTAGTGTTCCGCCATTTTGTATAGTAGGTGAAGATATTGACTTCATATTCTAGAGTTGTGAAGTTTTCGTCAGGAACTTCAGAAGGATTTATCACAAAATGCCCCTTTCAATTTCATTTTTTTGTTTTGTTTTTTCAGATGAAGCCCAGTCGCATTCCCTCCCTTTCTAACTGTTCCATGAATTGCTTCTAGAAGCTTGGAGATCGCTTCGAGAATCTTCTAGCACCTTCTGTCGCCGCGACACATATTGGGTGTTCGAAAATACGTTAGTACATGTTAGAATCATTGGGATGTTCGATAACAATCCGGGACGCGTGTTACAGGGTGATCGTTGTACTCCTGCCTTTCTGATGATGTTCTAGGGCCCCTCTAAGGGGAATATGATAACATTATGTTTTTCATGCACGCGTCCTTCAGTCAGTTTTTTTGACAGTTGATCGTCCGTTTGTAGGTACATGCAACTAAGACAATGCCTTTTACGTCTACTCGAAATTCGAGTATTCTGTCAATTGGACATCAGTTAAATTATCTAGTGTGATATATCGTTGAAGTAAGAAATGATTGCACTTCACAAATCAACAAACATGGTGTGACTTGATTAATTGAAGTTGGGGTAGATTGATAGAATTTTACTTTGATACAATGACTCCAAAGTCATTGGGGATCGACGGATTACCGACAATTGGACGTGGTCAATTGGACGCACGAAAATTGGACGCGGATAATTGGACGCGGCGACAATTGGACGCGGCGACAAATGGACGCGGCGACAATTGGACGCGGCGACAATTGGACGCGGCGACAATTGAGCGCATGCGAAAATAAAAATAATTTTATAATTCCAATGAAATTTATTGCATGGAATATGCAGGGCTCATATCTATAATATAACAAATACCTAACCTAACCTAACCTGTCAGGTATTTGTTATAATTATGGATATAAGCCCATCAGTATTTCATATTTTATACAATGAATTTCATTGGAATTATAAAATTATTTTTATTTACGCATGCGTCCAATTGTCGCCGCGTCGAATTGTCGCCGCGTCTAATTGACGCCGCGTCTAATTGTCGCCGCGTCCAATTGTCGCCGCGTCCAATAGTCGCCGCGTCCAATTGACTGCGACCAATAGTCGTGCGTCCATTTTTCCACGTCCAATTGACGCGACACCGGGTTCGACAAGTGTATTTTTTTTTAAATTTGTTTTCAAGAAGCATAACTGGCTGTATGAAATCTGGGGCACTCGGTATTATTGTTATAGAGATACCGATTTTATTCCATCATAGGTTTTTACATCAGGATCAAATTATTCCATAACAATATCTCAATTTCCGTGTTCTATAACATTTTGGTGGGTCTTTTCCCAACCTAGGGCGTCGGCATTTTTATTAAAAATCCTGCATAGTATATTCATTGGATTTATATTTCGTTCGATTCAGACCAGGAAAGACCCTTTCTTCCTCATATTCACTATTATATGAGAAAAAATGCTACTGATATTTATTGCAAAAAGAAGAAGATTGAAGAACAGTTGTAGATGATCATGAGAATGAGTTTTGAAGTTTTTACCAGTATATTTGAACAATAATTAGGGAAGATATCTTCAATTTCTTCATTCAATATGGTATGTGCATAATTTTTGTAAAATAAGTTCGTTGTTCGGAGGATTTGCCTTAGAGGGAAAGCTAGCTATTGTTACAGCTTGGAAGATGGGTGGGGTGTTTCTAAGAGCCTATAAGACTCCTGATGTGTGTACTTCAAGTTGTGCCCACATACATCCATTCCCATTTCTGAGGACATTTTAAGTATACTACAATAATCATACTCATACAAACAGTAATACTGGAGAAATTCGATACATATTTTGACATCGTCAGATCTCATTCGAATCTACGCCGACCCTGTTTGGAAGTAATCAACACGAGTCCTTGATAGAAACTTTATTCGCCGTAGCTAATGATTATTGTTGTCTGTCGTGTATTTCTGTATTTTATCTTACAACAGACTCACACGAAATCATTTGCGATACCTATAACTCTTACTAGTGTTACCTACTAGTCAAAGATCATCAATCACAAGCAAATCAACGATGCGGAACGCTCATATCTCATGTCTTTTGCTATCACACTAACTTGTGGTAATTTGAGCGTATTTATTCCTTGGAAATATCAACCATCTTCGACTTGTTGATGATAACGTCAGTATTGGGTCACAAGGGTAGAAAACGGGTGACCAGATACTCTTTTTATAGTACAAGTATACTCTTTTTAGAGGCTGCTGTTCTCGTACTCTATCTTTTTTTGATTTTTGGGAGGTACCTAGATGTCCTTCTGAAGTTGGACCCGTTTATAGTCAAAATTTGATGTTAATTTGATAAGGGAATATAAAAAAAATTGAAAAAAAATCCGAGAAGAAATAATTGGATTCATCACTATTGAATCTTAAGATGAAAATACGCAATGAAATACAGGGTGTTTCATTCGAAAATCGAAAGTTACGCTTCAAGGTTTCAACTTTGAAATATGATAATTGCAGAAAAATGTGTCCCCCGCCAAATTGGGTGGAAGGTTTTCGATTAGTGGTGCCCGCGAGAGTCTCGTTTTCGAGAGTCTCGCATGGTCTCGTCTCGTTTTCGAGACAAGACTCGAGACGAGACTCGGACAAGACGAGACGAGACGAGACTTTTATTGGTCTCGTCTCGAGTCTCGTGCAAGACTTCTCGTGTCTCGCAGGTAAATATTTCTGCGTGCCGACTGCAGACTTGAGAATTTCATTCATAATACAACATATTTAGAAAGAATTCAGACTATTTATCACAGATAGACAAAAAATTTCATTCATAAATACCTTAATAACACAATCCATGATCTCTTATGGCGGCAGAAAATAAAGGCAATTCTGCAATAACGACAGATCGCAAATTGAATGACTACCTGAAAATCTATGAATGAGTCATTCTGTGCTAAATAGTCTGAGATAAAGAATAACTTTGTTTTGACGGGAGTATGTATGCAGGAAATTGAAAAATATTATTCTGTGCCTCGGTGTAATAAAAACACAGATATATATTGCAATATGGTGGAAAATTCATGCTTCTGAATTTCCCATGTTCCCAAGTTTGATGGCACGAGATCTCTTAAGCATACCGGCTACTTCAGTTTTCTTGTTAGATGTATGATGTAAGTATGTACTTACTTTTCAATAAATAATGTTATTTTTGTTGTAATTTTGTCTTCCTACTTCTACATTATACCTAGAAAGGAGGTAAAGGTAAATATCCCGTACTAGACTGGAACAAGATTATGCATGACGTAATTGCGATACATCTGCGAGACTCTCGTACTAGACGCGAGACAAGACGAGACTGGAGGCTGCGAGACGAGCCTCTAGACAAGACTTCATATTTTATCAGCGAGACGAGACGGGACTTTTGAAAGTCTCGTCTCGTTAGTCTCGTGTGAATCACTATTTTTGATGGGTCACCCTTAATGTATGTGTCGTTCAAATTTACGCTTTATTACTCTTGCCTGTCGGTTCAATGATATCAATCAACTGAAAAGAAAAATTGCGTATCAAGAAGAAGCTCGTTTCATGTTCATAATGACCTAGGTAACTGGAGACAAAAAACAAGAAAACTCCTGAACCGGTCCCTTCATTTCAGATAGCTTGAATTGTTCTGAATTTCAAATTCCACTATACACGCTTCGTTTCATATGATTCCACTTCGACCATTCCACGTTTTCTCACATGAACTAAACAGTTCTCTAAACAAGTATTGACACTTCGTTTTCTTGCTTCCACAGAGTGAGCAAATGTTTATTTTGTTAAATTGCACTCTGATAGGGCTATCTAGTAGCGCGAGATTAACTTTGGAGTGCGAATTGGGAAACTGAAGTGGGTCAATTAGTTTATTCTTGGGAAAGGGTTCAGACGTTTTCTAGTCACGATCGTGAATTTTTTTTATTGAAAATCGAGGGATTCATTCCATTCACCTCGACTATTTTTTGGAAGGAAGGTATATATCTCTATGTAAAGGTCAATGTTGGGAACAGAAACAAATTCGTCCAAAGATAAATGATATTTAATATTTTTTCATCTGATTTGTCCTCACTGCAGGTTTACAGGGTGATTCAAAGTTGTCGTGAGAGAAGCCTAGGAAACATTCGTCTCAACAAAATATGAAAGTTCGTCCAAGTTAAAAAAAAAATTTTTTCATTGATATATTTCGATGAAATTTTCTTTGCTCGATATCTGATTTAAACCTTTTGTTCAAAATCCACAAAGTCCTCAAGTAAACAAACGTGTCTCTGGTTTGTTCGCCAACCAGACGCCATTTCCAAATTATTTGACAGGTGGTTGGATTGCCTAATACCTACCTACCTAATTATTTGTCTGCATGCCACTGAAATTAACACGATTTACGATTCATAAATAATACCTTCGATACACTTTTATTTTTTCTTGTGGAGTTCAGAGATATGCCAAGGTATGGATTGTCCGTTTTTCACGAAAACGAAACAGGATACGAAAAAGAAGCAGGCGACAGAAATGTTGTATTATCGGTGGGTTTATCTGGATATCCAAGAAGAATTAAGAAAAAACACAGGGTGACTTTAATTTCATTAAATAAAGCTGACTTGATTGATGGGCACGCTTCTGGAAATTCTGGATCAAATCTAATTGGTTCAGTTAATGTCTGATAATTGTGTAAATAAACCATAAACATCTCATTAGAATCGATTTAAGCGTTTTCAAGGTGTTTATCGTCAACTTTGACACTTTGTATCTCGGAAACAAAACATTTTCAGACCCCTGTTCATATTTTGTTGAGAGGAATCTCCCCTAAGCTTTTTAAGCTAATTTGAATTGATATACCGGGCCATCGGGTTACCAGCCTGATGCTGAAGACATAAGGCCATCAACCGAACTGATATAAATACAGCATTAATGATCTTTTTATGTGAAAGAAGTATGCTCTAGACTACATCTCGCCGACACTTGCTGTGACCATCCTACTCCCGTGAGTTACAATCACTGTTGTATAACTACTAAGATGTACCTTCTTGTTTAATTTGTGGATAATATCGAGATAAATACAAATATTCCAAACCCTGAGAGAGCTCGACGTGTACTACCGTGATACTCCTCTTTTCACTCAAACTTCTACACTGCATAAGCATGCTGTCACCTGAAATTTTCATGCAGAAGGCTTAATCACAAGGAGTCAATTATTTGAATTGTTTTAGAGTGGCGTACTTGATTAATTTTCTGTTTTTCGTTCAATTTTAATTTAATAAATTTCTGGTTAATTAGACGAATCAGAAAAAATCTGATGTTTTATGATTATTTATAATTTTAGCACTATGAATTACTATTTTGGGTGATAGAAAAAATGCATACGGATTGTGCGTGCATTCTCTTCGGATCAGGATAGAATTCTCCTACAAAAACTGATAAAATCTACTTCAACATTATGCTAATGGATACTATATTATTTCAGTGGAGAGAATTATATTATTATAGTAATAAATCTCTAACTGTAATGAAGAATTTCACGATATTGTTTCATTTTAGAAAATTCTATATAATTATAGTAAAAAAATTCATCAATCGCAATAGGTATTGAATAATTATTATAATTCTCGAACAGAAACATATCATTTACTATGAAATGAATAAAAATACGACATAATTCTCACAATATTCAATCTATCTTTTAATGTTTATGGGTATATAGGATTTCGATTAATGTGTATGTGCTTCAGGATATCTCAAAACTTCTTCCATGCGGTGCCAGATGATAGATCGCCATTTTCACTGCTAGAGGTGGTGACGGCTTGAACCAGGCCATCGGCTGATCATTATCAATAATAATAATGTGTATTTCAGGTTTTTGGATACTTGATTTCCAACTCTGAAATATAGCGGAACAATTCATGTGGTGATAAGATATATTTATTTTGATCACTGGTGACTGAACAGTAATCAAAATTAACACATAAGAACACAACCGCCCTGTACTTCGCAAACCAAAAGACTGGTGAATGAACGAGCGTCGACTTTTTTTTTATTCGTTTCTTTAACGTCGGCCTTTTTCTGCTACTGAGGCTAATCACCGACGCCGGTGACTCGGTGAGCACACTATACCCCCACCGGAAATTTTGCCGAATCCTCTGGTGTTCCAACCAGAAGTAGGGTCGGTAGGGATCTTTAACGAGTCCAACATCCATGGCCTCGGGGCCTCGGGACCGCCGGCTTAACGTCCCCTCCGAAGGACGGCATATCCGTACCATATCTTGTGCTCATTGATATGGTAGCTGTAGCTATGATATGCTATTCCGCTACAGGTGTACGGGCTTACGCGGCGTTTCCTTGAATCAAGTACTAACGATATCGAACGGCTAGAGCCTTACCTGTTGTCGGCTAAAAGGTTATATACTGTGTCAGCGCAGTGTTGCCACAGCATGCCGAAAAATAGTAGTAGATTTGGGATTATAAGTGGATCAGATTCTGACTACAGCGGAGTGTAATACTGATCAAGTATCTTTCATCTACCTATTCAGCTGTCAATGTCATTGTGAGCGAATGTAGTTTCAAAACCGAAACCAGAAGGAGTCTCTTACCCGCGTACCCGCAAAAATTATAGCATTTGATCATGAAGTAAATTCATTAGTATTATATATACAGTAATGATGTTCTTAGGTTGGGCAAAATATGAATGTAGTTATGTGAGAAATTGAGAATGCTGTTAGAACATCATGAAAAACATGATTTATTGAGTCATTGTAGT